TGCATGGATAAATGCACAGTCATGATACACCCTTCGAGAAACAACAATAACTTTAGGAAAGCCCTCAGTCGCTGTTTCTCACTGTAAAGCACCTGTATCGTGTTTTTTTGCCAACTATTTCTGATGTGTTTGTATTGCACGCTTTATTTATTTTCCAATGTAAACTGATGTTATTTTTATGGGAACGGCTATTGCATCTTTGTAGTGTTGACAACAGTCCTGAGGAACACGTTTTATACATGTTATTGTAAGTATTTTTAATTTTCAAATAGTATTTCAAACATAGACATTTGAATTTGGGGCTGAATGCTTTTACAAAATGTTACATTTAGACAGGAATAGACCTAATGGTTTGGTATTTTTAGTCAGTGTGTTACTGTAATGTCTGGTAAATTTTGGACCTGAGGTACAAAGATCAACAAACAGAAGCAATTTCTTCATAAAATGTCACTAAACCTAATGGTTGTGTTAGAACAGACCCAGTTTGTGAAGTCTGGACTATATACTTGTCACTGAGTTAATGTCAAGTAAAAACATTTTGTGTCATTTCGTACCTTCAGACTGTGTAATGAAATGGATATGCAGCCTAGATGAGGTTATAAGGTTTTTCACAATCAAACACTGCTGCATAATTGTTGATTGTGGCCTCCAGGCAGATTTTTATGGCCGTGTTTATGTTTGCTGTGGCGTGCTGCCACAAAAATATAGTCTCTGACAGTTTTCTCTGAAAATAAACTGATTTTTTTTTCTCTCTCTCTGAATACACAGTGAGCACTAAGAATTGTGGAGAAATGTTGCATTGTTAATCAAGCTAATTATCTGAACACAGTTCAAATCTAAAAATAATTATGTTTAATATGTATATGTTGGAATTGTTATATTCTATTTTTACCTAAATATTCTTACCTAAATCATGTTTTAATAATCATTTAAACTAATTACTGCAATGCTTTTTCATCAATCCTCAGAAACAACTCTAACAATACACTAATAGGTGCACTGCAGATTTAATTGAATTGCCCAGGCACTTTGTTTTGGTAAACCCCAAAAAATGAAATTGCATTTGGCAAACCACCATTTACAATTAAACAGAAGTTTGACACGCTACATAAGTAAATGACTTTGTAATTACGGATTCCTGCTTGCACTTGCAGAAGAGTTAGCAGATACTTTTGAGACATTTAGAAGTTAGGGGCTGTTCATGGTGTGGACAAAAACAGACAGAAACATTCTTCAAAATGTCTTCTTTTGATTTCCACGGTTGAAAGGAAGATATGGAACAATGTGAATAACACAATTTTCATTTTTGGGTGAACCTCTTAAAGGGGTCCTATGATGCAATTTCAATTGTTCCTTTCTCTTTGGAGTGTTACAAGCTCTTGGTGCATAAAGAAGGTCTGTAAAGTTGCAAAGACTAAAGTCTCAAATCCAAAGAGATATTCTTTATAAAAGTTAAGAGTCAGCCACACCTACCTAAAATGGCTCGTTCTAACACGCCCCCACATGTCTACGTCACTATGTGGGAAGATTTGCATAACACCGCCCAAATGTTCACGCAAAGAAAGAAGGCGTAACGTTTATTCTACGCATAGAGGAGAAACAATAAAGTACAGTATGTGGAAAATAATGTGTTTTTTGAACCTTAAACCGCATAAACACATTTCATTACACCAAATACACAAAATACTGTTCTTTTTAGCAGCATCATATGACCCCTTTAACTAATTTAAAAAAAATAAAAAATATATATATATTAGATGCAGTTTCCATAATGTGTTCATTTATTTATGTGAAATTAGCTTTGTGTTTGCTTAGTGGGGCAATTATAAAGTCTCTTTTCTCAACTTTCTTTCAAACTCTCGTCGAAACTCTTTACTTGACTTTTTTTGCTCAGTCTAATGGAGCATTTGGCAGCTTTGCTCCACACAGCTCTGCTGTTTTAACAGCCCCAAAACAAACTCATCAGAGAAAAATCCACCCTATATGCTGAGATAATAACAGCTTGTCATGATCTGAAATACTTCAGCGTACAGGGCTTTTCATACAAACCATGGTACCGCTGTCAACCGAATCGACTGTGTACACAGTACCCTGAAATATTGGAAAGTTTATCGCACTGAGCAGACCGCTGCACATTCCATATCAGCCTAAAGTCTCTGTGAAAATGTTCCTTTGTATCCAAAAAAACATTTCAGAGAACTTTAACTGTATGTCCATACTTATAGAATCCTTGCTTTCTGACAGTCAGAGAATGGTCTATACTTTTTGAGTAAAGAACATGAGGGAACATGATGAAATGAGATTGCATGGATATAGATGTGTCTCCACAAACTTCTACGACATTTCCAAGCAGCAACTTCAGGCAAGTTAATCCTTGTCTTGACAGAATTACGGATCCTCCCCGTACACCGACTGATTCAACTCTGATCATTCGAAGTGTTAATGGAAGTTCCTCGTATATTTTGAAGTGAATGTGTTGACTTGTCCACCTTGCCAATCTTGTGGAAACTGATTGTAACTCTCTTGGCGAGGCAAAAAGACAGTACATTCCCCTTAAGCGTTAAGTTAGCTTCTGTGCTAGCATCTGTGGCTTATACTTCTATTTGGCACAGGAAATTAAACAACTCGATGGACCTGCCAAAGTCGATATTGATCCTTAATAGAACCATGTTGAATCAACAGTATTTGGGGGACTTCATGACCTGAGCATTTGTTCTTTTTGGTAATATTAGAAACCTGCAGATCTTTTTGTGGCACGACTAGCCTGCTCTGCGCTGCTTTGACATACTGATGATACAGTATGTATTTATAAAGCATTCCATAAAAGACAATGGAAAAGAAACAAATGATGTCTTCTCCCAGTGTTTGTGGAAGATCTGAGGGATTGCCTTCTGCTGTAACAGTATCTGTACAAATCTGTCTGTCTTTTGGCTGTCTCCAGGCTCCTAATTCACAACAATAACACTCAGACATCCAACATGCGAGAGGCTTGTGTGCTAGTTAAGTTGTTTATTTTGTCTCCTGTCACAAGAATATATAGAGAGAGAAAAAATTACACCCAAGCAAAAATATGAGCTTGTCTCATTCCAGTATGTATAAGAAAAACAAGGTGTTACTTTTTTACAGCTTAACGTGAGGCAGGTCTTTCTGTGAAGAGATGCAGCGTGTTAGTTTAACAGATAAGTGATCCAGGTCTCTGTGCCAAACCTAAACAAATTCCATTTCAGACAGCTCACCTCTACAACTTTTCTCTATCTCTGTTTCTATCTCAACCGCAGTCACTTCAGGAGATTCAATTCATATTTGTGGTTACTGGGATTTATAAAGCCATGCGTTTCATCTAAGTGAAAACATCGTCAGCTCCTCAGCATTGTTGGTGGTTAGTTGGTCAAGTAACAATTATATTTATATAAATATTTATATTTCATATTTATATAATTATTTCAGATTTAGTTAAGTATTCTGGTGGAGTGTAAATTAAATTTGTGAATACTGTGTCAAAATGCTATTCAATTAAAAGTCAAAGTATGTAGAGCGGGTCTTCACCTTTTAAATAAAAAAGAAACTTTTTCTTAGCTTTTGAAATTTATAGATGAAATTTAATGCACGAACAACAAGGTGATAGATCTTAATAACTGGGCAAATATGGAATCATATTGACAGTATAATTTAAATGGTAAGGATCATTGTATGATTTTTACCTTATAAATGAATCTGAGTAACAATTAAATTATTTAGCTTCTTTTTTTTCTTCAAAATATTACTTCATTGGTACTTTGCAGGGGTGTGACGTACACGAGTAAGGCTGATGATACATGGGGCAACTTTTTTTGATCAATGTTGCTTGCACACTTTCTCACTGAGGATGGGTAACAAATTTCTATCTGGATACTTTAGATCAGTCGTGGGCCCTGTGTCTCACCTGGTTTCCCGTTTATGGCAACATTGCCCAAAGTTGCTTGGCAACATTGCTCAAAAAGTTGGCCAGTGTATCCTCTGCCTGACCCTTGCAAACAGTGTATTCTTTCTCTCTCATCCTGAATCATTTTTATATTAAATTCTGAATGCTACTATTGAGAAAGTAGCTCAAATTATACAATCTTCCAAAAAAGGGGAGGTGTCATTGGTTTGGCTGATGATTGCTGAAGTCATTCCAGTGTGGGATTTAGAGGATTCAAACCAAACTGTTGCCAAATAGATTGAGTTATATCATAGATTGCATATTTGATAATCTTTCTCTGAGTTAGAAATCTACCTCTTAGAAATGAACTTCAGGCTCTGAGAGCTTATTGAAAAGAAGAAGCCAGCAATGTTTCCACTGAAAGCCACTATATGTGTTTAAAACAGTTGCAAAAAGGAACCCACAGTATAATGCAATGTCTCGGGCCACTCATTTTTAGGTGAACAGTAACGTTGTGCTCATGGAAACTTGTTGAGAGAGATCAATTTTGAAAGGCTGTTTGTTTTTCACAGACCCTACTGGGCAAACTTGCCGTAGCACCTGAGAGAACTACTGAGAAGGAATAATTAAGCAAAGAGTAAAGTCCTCAAGAGAAAATTTGACTGACTGTGTTAAGCATGAGGTAGTGCTGCATGCCACACAAAAGACCCATTCCTTTACTGCAGTGGTGCAACCTGCCTTAATGTCTGGCACCATTTATTAGGATCTTTAGACATCATTTTCCTGAGAGGGTTTGTAAGCAGAAATTATGACTCATTGGATTTCGCTATGTAGCTATGATGCACTGCACTCAGTGCCAACTGGAGAATGATCTCTGAATTAAATATCTGATAAATCACACAGTTATAATGACTCAATCATTATATATAAAAATATAAAAATAGGAGCAGCATACCTTATTTATGCACCCGCTCTGACATATATACACTAACCAAACTTAATATCATGTGTCACATGTGCATCATATCCAGAATTCTTCAAGTTATACAGAAATATGCAAACCATGCATATAAATGATAATTTCTGTGTTTTTATTCAGCAGGTCAGTGAGAACCAGAGAGTGGACCCTCTTGGATCATGGATGGATTTTGTGAAGAGACCTGTGGGCAACTTTCCCGGAAAATGCCGAAAGCGAAAACGACCACTGGTGCGGAAAATCTTTACAATCACATATTATCAAATGTCAAACACATAATCGACAGTGAGACAGAGCTGAAAGTGTGGGAAGGAGAGGAATTTCATTCACCCAGAATGTACAGAACAATTCTTGTAAAACAAAAAAATTTGGAATTTAATGAACAAGTTAAAGGAATAGTTCATCCAAAAATGAAAATTTGATGAGAATTTACTCACCCTCAGGCCATTCAAGATGTAGATTGTAGAGTTTGTTTCTTCATCAGAACAAATTTGGAGAAATTTAGCATTACATCACTTGCTCACCAATTTATCCTCTCCAGTGAATGAGTGCAGTCAGAATGAGAGTCCAAACAGCTGATAAAAACATCACATTATAATCCAGAAGTAATCCTATGGAGATAGAATTGTTGCTTAATTCCAAATAAATAGATTACGATCCATAAATAAATGTAAAGAGATTAACAAACATAGAACTTTGGATAGTTTCCACATACTTATCCAAGTCCGCGAGAGGCAAAAGGTTACGTTTTAGTCGCATAACATTGGTTAATGGAAACGCCGTCATTTCGCAATACTTTCTTATCGACATTTATAAAATATCGCCAAAGTTTTGCGCAAATCTGTAATGGAAACGCGCCTACTGCAGCTATCTACAAATGCACAGGACGCGATTCAAAAATAAATGCCAGGCAAAGTTGTGGTTGTGACATAAATATATATTTGTGAACATGTTTTTTTATTTGCAAATCTCGTTTTATTTATTTGGGAATTTAATTCATGTTTGTGAAACTTTAAGATTTATTTGTGGATCTCATTCTATTTATTTGTGGATCATAATCTATTTATTTGGAATTAAGCAACAATTCTATCTCCATATAATCCGCACGACTACAATCTATCAGAGAATGTCTTGTGGAGTGAAAAGCTGCGTATTTGTAAGAAACAAATCCAGGATTTTTAATTTAACTTTCTAACCGTCACTTTTGGCCAAAATACCAGTCCATAATCCACAATAACGCTTCCTCCAATGAAAAGCCCTGTTGTCCTCTCACATCAAATACAACCGACATATTTGTTTAAAACTCTTTTCACTTGGAAATAGTACTTGATCTGTGCATATTTCTCTCCTGTTTCAGATGAGACCACTTTTTTCACTGAAGAAAGCAATATTATGGATAGAGGACTGTACAAGACATTTTGTGATGGTTAATTAATTAAATATGTAGCTAGAGACACATGTGAAACTTTAGGTGCCAATACAAACTAACAAGCACAGTTGCAGACGTACTGCACTTCAACAAAGTTGATTGACTGAGAATGAACTTTTAATTTATCTCTATCAGAGAATTTGTAATATATTGCATAACACATGCCTTAATACATTTCAAGTTGTAACACATCATTACAAATAGTGAGATGCTCTTTTGAGCATTCAAAGAAATTTGAATCTTGACTAAATTGATTTGAAATCATATAACAGTTATATATTTTTTTGCCTATCAGCCCGGTCCCCCGGGACCTCCTGGACCTCCAGGGCCTCAGGGACCTCCAGGATCCCCTGGGGCAGAGGTCACTCAAGAGGTCCTGCTGCGAGAGTTCAAAGAAATGATCAAAGGTGAGGACCCACAACACATAAAAATCTCAGTGATGGATATTTTCTATTCATCATCAAGGGACTATTATGAAGATGAGCTGGACATTTTGAGAGATACATTGATGAGGTGTCTTTAACTGCATGCAGTGTTGTGTCTACTTGTGATCTGCTTTAACAGAGGCCACCGAGAGGCGAGCAGCAGTGGACAGGCCCAACGAACCCAGTCAGCTGCCCACGGCTCTGATCACCCTAGAGAGTATGACCTCCTACAGGAGAATTGAGGAAGCCTTCCACTGCAAACTCAAAGGCCCTGTCGTTGTGGACAAAAAGACTCTGGCTGAACTGCAGAACTTTCAAACAGTAAGTGCAGACAGTAAATATATCTGTCTTTTATCAAAATGGAATATCCATCCATCCATCTTAATGGAAATATATCTGCCTTTTTAAGAAGTGGCATAAATACTAATAAACCTAATTGATCTTAACTTTATATTAAACAACAACAACAACAAAACATATCTTTGGTAATATATTTAATTCATTTATTTTTGCATAATACTTCTGACAAATGTATCTTTAATTACACATTGTCATATGAACAACGAATCAGTTTCTACACTGATTTAAATGTCATAGTTAATAGTTTCATTCACTAAAAGAAGTAGGGGTTGAATGACTTCTGATTTTTTAAAGTCGACTTTTATGTGATGAAAGTCGAGTCGAAGTCGACTAGTCGCTGATGACGTCATTAATGAACAAATAAGTCTGGAGCTGTGACAAACATGAATGCATTAGTGAGAGCGATTGCGTGTGTGAATTAATTCTACCTGGCAGCGTCTCTCTACTAGTAGTGAAGCTGTGGGATTTAGTTATTAAGAAATATATGCTTGAACTTTTTCAGAATACTAAACACCATTTCGAAACGGTTCCAGCCTGTGTGTGTTCAAAGTGAAGTGTGTAATTTCTCCATCACCAAACTGAATTACAAAATAAATAAGCTGTCTGCCACTGGTCAGTCAGACAGATACTGTAACTCCGCCCCAATCAGCTTTAAAGACACAACTAAATTAAGGCCACCTGTGATTGTAACCTCCCGACTGACTCTTGATATGAACATTAGTGACAAGACACTGGATTGGCCAAATATTTACTCAGCCAATCAAGAAGGGCCTAAGCCACCCTCCTCATAAAAAATATATCCTTTTCAAATGTGCTAGATTGCTTTCGTGGTGGTGTACAAAAGGTACTCTGTCTGAGGTTTTGGACGAGTGAGTGGTGTGTATAAAAATAGACACCATTTGCAACAGTGCGCTGTTTCAACTAAGAGCTTTACCCTGTGGCATTCTGATCAGCCAAGAACACACACCGAAAATCCATGTTAGCGTGTTTTTGGAGCGTCCTTTACTCAGGGAAAAAACTGTGATTGATTAATGTAGACACGATTTAATCTAAGCTCCAATGAGCAATTTAATTCTGCTGATCACTGAGGATGTATGATTCTTACTTTCCGTATTAAAGAAACTGTGATCATATAGACTTTCAAATCTGTCACATGGATGAAATAACGGTTGTAAATGTCAATGCAAAGTTTTGTTCATCCAGTGTAGAAATACATGTCAAATAAAATTACACTCTTCTCACATATCTGTTGGGATCTGACATGTATATGAAAGGCATTCATTGTATGTGTTCAAAGCTGACAGCACAAAAATGGCAGAAGCGAACAGTGTTTAGCACACTAATCGGAGGACTCATTATAAAAGCGTCTGAGTCTGGAAATCTTGGTGGGTTCTGGAGGCGTAATGCAGAATAATGTGGTCTGGCATGGCTGCAGTGTGCAGTTATGATCAAAAACAGAATCGGAGGATTCTTGGCAGATGTCTACATATTTCTAACCATTTAATGGTTATGTGCTCCCAAACTGGTATATTTTCGAATGCTGTATGCAGAATGCTTCGATTTGCATGTGAGTTTATTAGTGTGGAGAGCAAGAATTCTGCTGAAAAATATATTCTTGAGATGCTTGGAATGCAAGTCGTAGTAGGATTTTCAGAGTGAGTAGTGTTGATGTTTGATCAATGGTTAAGTGTGTTCATTGTAGGCCCTCTATAATTCTCACCTGTTTCATACCTTCAGCCTTCTGCCAAAGGTGCCTTCCTCAGAGGGACGGGGATGGATCAGTCTACTGGCCGATTTACAGCTCCTGTAACTGGAATTTATCAGTTCTCTGCCAATGTTCATATTGGTAAGGAAAGGTAGAAAGGTTCACCTCACCAATAACAAACTTTCTCTCTTTTGTAATCTTTTGTTTTCTTACACTTTTTCAGTTTAAGACATGAGGTTTAGGGGTATGATAATGATTAGCGGAATTAAACCCATGTTCAAACAATAGGGTTGGATTCAGGGAATGCATGAACTGCAAAAATGGACACAATTTACAGTGATTTTAAAGTGCAAATGTATATGGATGGTACACAATTTACAGTTAAAATAGTAATTTATTAATAATAATATTAATATATATGTAATTACAGAGTGTGGAGGATATGGAGAATTTTTTTAAATTCATTAAAAATGCTTTGGATAAAATTGTCTACCAAATAAGAATGGAATATTCAGTTTCTGTGCTATAAACACAAATGCATGGAGTACAAATTAATATTTCAGTGTCATCTCTATCAGAAGATGCCATCATGTAATGGATGTGTTTCAGACTTGCCACTTTCTCAACAGATGGATTGCATTCCCCTGTAACTTACATTCAAACCGTGCTGCATTTATTTGCTGAGATTGAGGGTGTCTTGCACAATCTTGCATGTTTAAAAAGCTAAAAAAATTTGTGCTGTGCTTCAAAGCGCACAACTGTACCTTTTTTTTTTTTTTTTGGTTGATGCTCTAAAGAGGGGGTCCAGTGATCCTTCATCCGTCCTTTCAGAGGCATTGCTTATGTGGAGTTACACTGAAATAAGCCCCAGGGACTCTCTTCTAAGCTGTGGCGCCGCCATGGAACTCTGGGAAAAGGAATTGGCTCTCTGCAGTAGACTGTGGCAGAAAATCAACATCCCGAAACAAATTCACAAATCCGCTGCAGACTTATAGAAGAGACCAATATTTAGATGCGGCTGGAGGTCAAACATGACTGGCTGTGGCATTGTGTGCTCCACATACAAAGCTCTGTCAAACAACATTTCAACAGCCTTTACTCTTCATACAACAGTTTGTAGTGCATGTCTGAAAAGTATTCTCAGGAAATATAATTTTTTGTACTTTGTGTACTTTCTTGCAGACCACACTGAGGTGAAGAAAAGTAAGAACCAGCTGAGAGCCAGAGACAATGTCAGAGTTTTGATCTGCACTGAATCACTCTGCCACAGATATTCGTAAGTTTGCTTTGTCTCACATTAAAGGGATAGTTCGCCCAAAATTAAAAATTCTGTCATAATTTATTGACCCTCATGTCATTCCAAAACAGTGACTTTCTTCTGTGAAACATGAAAGAATATAAAAAAAACAACAATTAATATGCCATTACAAATGCCATTCATAGCTTAAAGGGATAGTTCACGAAAAATAAAATTCTGTCATCATTTACTCACCGTTATGTTCTTCAAAACCTTTATTATTCTTGAACACAGAATATATTTTGAAGAATGTTGGTAACAGTTTCTGGTCCCCACTGACTTCCATAGTATTTTTTTCCCCATACTATGGACGTCAATGCTACCAGCAACTATTTTCATTTTTGGGTGAACTATCTCTTTAAAAAAGACAAAACGAGTTTTGTGAGTGAATGCAACCTTTCTTGGGGGAATGCAACACTTTTGCAAGAGAACACTTAAGTTTTGTGAGTGAACGCAACGTTTCTTGGGGGAATGCAACACTTTTGCGAGAGAACACTTAAGTTTTGTGAGTGAACGCAATGTTTCTTGGGGGAATGCAACACTTTTGCGAGAGAATGCATACGTTTTGCAAGTGAACGCAACGTTTCTTGGGGGAATGCAACACTTTTGCGAGTGAACACAATGTTTCTCAGGGAATGCAAACATTTTGCAATCAAACGCAAAAGCTTTAAAATATAATTTTCTTCCACCTTGTCCCGGTAGGGGCTCTGTACAAGTCCTATGAAGTCATACAATAGATTTGTGTGATAAACAGACTAAAATTGAAGTTATTTACTGAAAAACGTTTGAGAGAAGTAGCGATGTTTGATTCATGAATGAATCATTCAGACGGTATATAATTAATGTGCTAGAATTTTGTTTCCAACTGGCCACACAGAGTTTCTTGTGATTTTCATTGATTTCAGGTCTTTCTGTCACACTTAGTGTCAGTTCTGTTAGCAAAACCATCCAGGAGAAAATCTAACACCAGCAATTTTGCTAGAAAAGTTATTATGATTACATTATGTATAATTTACCCTCAAGTAGTCTATTTATTAACATTCGATTTTGGACCCGTTGTCCACAGACCACATCCACATCAATATAAATTCATGACTCAGACTCTAAGAAATACATCGCTTATGATGAAAATGAGTATTTTTCTTGAGCTACTTCTTACATTCAGAGCATGTGGTTTTTATTTCAGTGGCTTAAGCGTGTGAGTGCATGTCATAAAAATCACAAAAAACTCTTTCACAAATCAAACAAAAATGAATTTACTTAAAAGAAAAGAGAGAGAGAAAAAAAACTACTAGGGGTACGCGAGGTGGGGAAGGGGGAATGGGGGTGGCAGATCTGGATAAACTCTCTTCCAGTGTTTGCTGGTTGTTAGCGCTCTTTTGCTCTTAGTGAGTAAAGCATGTGCTGTAAAGCACGTTGTCTGTTCTAGCTTGTGTGGAACCAGCAAGGCATTTCCTGTGTTAAAATGGAGCAGGCCTTTAAAAAATGTCCTCTCACCTTCAGTCTGGTCCTTGTCACCTAAGTAACCTTTACCGCCACCTTTGACTCGTGGGGTCCCTGTTGGTCTAAGAAAGGGTAATTCCTAAAATCTATTGCTGGAAAGCACTCATAGAGACCTTTAAAGGGAAATTATTCATTTTTAGACATTTTTATCAATATATAACAAAACAAAGTGATATTTCTTTGAATAACCTTAACATTGTGCCATGATTTCACTAAGTAAAAATTTATTATAAAGGAATTCTTTTAAAATTATACTAGTTTATCTTTTGCTCAGATAATATAAAATTTAAAAAATAAAAACATTTATAATTGTAATATTTTCTGTGCCGTTTTTCAGATCCTTGGAAATGATTGTTGGCCTTGAGAGTAACAGCAAAATATTTACAGTATCTGTCCATGGACTACTGGAACTTCAGGTAAGAGTTGTGAATATCTTGCTGAATATCCTCAAATACATAAAATGAAGTAAAATGTGCTGCTGATTGACATTGACTTTGAATAATGTGATGTTTTCTTTCTTACAGGCTGGGCAGTACACTTCCATATTCGTGGACAATGCAGCTGGAGCATCGATCACAATACAGAATGGTTCAGATTTCATGGGCATGTTGTTGGGGGTATAGCCTTGTTTTACAGCCAGACTATATCTGGAAGGCCACGTAAGACTGCATAGCTCCTCTTTGGACTATCACCCAGCACCATATATCCTCATGAGACAATATATGACTGCTACAAAGCTCTTGGCTTGTTCATGGACAAGACATGGACATATTAAAACCCACAAAGCAGAGACAGTTGGATGCAAAACTGAAAGACTTTACCGAGGACAGTCGATTCACATCTGCCTCTCTCATGTGCCGTCTACATTGAGGTTTTTACCTCTTCAGAAAGATCAGTTCTCACTGTTTCCACTTACCATGTCCTATTTTGTGATTTATAGATGTATACAAAGAGATTTTTGTACTTTGACATTGTGTTGTTATGTCCTTCCTCTTAATTAATAGTGTTTATATACAGAATGTTTATATACACAGTTTGTTTTCTACGATAAGAGGTTTTCTACAATACAAGAGCTAATCTAAGGTTTAATCTTTTGGATTTATCTTGAAGGAACATTTCACCCCAAAATGAAAATTTGTTGAAAATTGCCTCACCATTAGGCCTTTGTTTGGTTTGTTTTTATTCAGAATAAATTTGGAGAAATTTAGCATTACCTCACTTGCTCACCAGTGGATCCTCTGCAGTGAATGGGTGCCGTCAGAATGAGAGTCCAAACAGCTGATAAAAACACCACAATAATCCAAGCCATCCACACGACTCCAGTCCATAAAGTAACATCTTGTGAAGTGAAAAGCTGCATGTTTTTAAAGAAACAAATCCATAATTGAGATGTTTTTAACGTCAAAATACTGTTTCCGCCTAAAATACACCATCTCGTCTGAGTCAGGACAGAAATATGCACAGATCAAGCACTGTTTACGAACGAAAACAGTTCTAAACAAATATGTGGGTGGATTTTGATGTGAGAGGACAACAGGGGATGGACTTTCTCACTGAATGAAGCATTATTATGAATTATGGTATTTTGGCTGAAAGCAACGATTTGAAGTTAAAACACCTTTGTGATGGATTTGTTTCTTACAAACACGCAGCTTTTCCCTTTACACGAAGTTAAATGGACTGGAGTCGAGTGGATTACTTGTGGATTATTGTGATGTTTAAATCAGCTCTTTGACGGCACCCATTCACTGCAGAGGAACCACTGTTGAGCAAGTGATGTAATGCTGAATTTCTTAAAAATCTGATTAAATGAAGAAACAAACTCATCTTGGATGGCCTGAGGGTGAGAAAAATTTCAGCAATTTTTCATTTTTGTGTGAACTATTCCTTTAAGGATTTTATGATCTTTTGGAAGTGTTACCCAAAATGTGCACCTCCTCTTGTGCATACATGCCTGTATTTTTAAATATAACAAGCTAGACAAAGTTTTATTTACTATGCAGCTCAGAAAAGCATGTTGTAGTGACTTGATTATTGATAAAAGAACAGATTTTCCATTATACTCGGCCAAAAGAAGGAAACAGCCAAATACAAGAAAAGAAACAAGATAAATGACTCAGTCGATTTTTTACGTCCAGCAGCTAACAGTCCCAAACAATAGCATTTATCAAGGAGTGTGTGTGAATGTGTGTTTGGAAAGCATACTGCCATGATCGATTAGACATGTTAGAGTCCTGCTGAGTTCTCATTTTGTTTACTGCAATGCCAAATACGTCATCTGAATGCTCTGTTTTTCACATCTCCATGGAAGTTTATTCCTGCTTTCTTTCAGATGTGTTGCTTTTCGTCCTTTGCATGTTGTAGTGACTTGATTATTGATAAAAGAACAGATTTTCCATTATACTCGGCCAAAAGAAGGAAACAGCCAAATACAAGAAAAGAAACAAGATGAATGACTCGGTCTATTTTTACGTCCAACAGCTAACAGTCCCAAACAATAGCGTTTATCAAGGAGTGTGTGTGAATGTGTGTTTGGAAAGCTACTGCCATGATCGATTAGACATGTTAGAGTCCTGCTGAGTTCTCATTTTGTTTACTGCAATGCCAAATACGTCATCTGAATGCTCTGTTTTTCACATCTCCATGTAAGTTTATTCTTGCTTTCTTTCAGATGTGTTGCTCTTCGTCCTTTTCTCCCAAACGTCTTTGTTGTTAACTTCAGTAAATACAGAAATTAAGATGCACATACATATTAGCATTTGTACAATTTTCCATTCCATACAAATTATTTATGTTTAAATGTATCTGCCAATTAAAACAGATTTATTTTTTTAATTGGCTTCTAGCCTTCCAGTAGATCTCAATACAAGTGAAAATAATGTAGGCGGACCTGTTTAAATATACAGTATTTGCTTGTATTGTGGTGTAATGGAAATGAAACCATATTCAATAAATGTAAAATATATCTATTCACCTGGGCATGCTTGCGGTTGACTAGAAATGACTTTTATGTGCTTTGAAATCTTGCTAACGTTCGTAATTCTCTGCTCGATAAAGCAAGCAGGACGTGCTCCCGGTGCCGCACGATGAGGCTCATGGAAAATATTCTTTGGTGCAGTAGTGTGGAAAATGCTTCTTTGCATCATTTGCATTGTAAATAATCCAGGATACCACAAATACCTTGGCAAACAAGAGCACGTCTGACAGACTGATGGTGGTACAGTATGCCACCTGGGCACACCAGAGACCCATCTATGAAATCCAATCATTTAAGTGTCATTTAACCTTGTCATCAACTGTCATTTAGAACGTCACATGGAAAATCATAACACTTACAGTTGCACAGATAAATTTTTTTTCTACAAGACCTGTGGTTTCGCAGAAGCCGCTGTGCCTTCAAGCCTCATCTTTAGTCAATAGGCCTTTTTGTTTTTCTTGTCTACTTACACTCTCAGAAAAGAAGGTTCAAAAACTGTCACTAGGGCAGCTTTTGTCAATAGGTACACCTTTATACCTAAAGAGTCCACATTGGTGCCTTAAAGGTATAGTAGTATCTCAAATGTACATATTAATACCTAAAAGGTACAAAAATGTACTTTTTAAAAAGAGTTTTCAGAGTTTTTGAGAAACGAAACTGTTCAAAACAAAACAATGACCTGGAGGTTTTACACCAAAGCTTCAAATTATTTTCTTTATTTAACTTTTTGAAGGATGCTCTTAATGGTCTGGTGAAGCTTTTTCATTATAAGCCAATACCAAAGCTTTGTAATACAAAGCAATGTGGTTACACTATCAATTTGATGTAAAACCATCTGCTGCAGTGCTATTTTATTTATAAACTATCATAGTTTTTATTAATATTTTGAATGGGCTATTATTTTTTATTTTCAGTTCCAATTTTAATTATTGTTACATGCTTTTGTCATTTGTATTAGTTTTTTTTAAATATATTTCTAAATCGTTTTAATGTTTTTTTCTGCTTTAATTTTATTTTTTATTTCAGGTAGTAATTTTAGTATTTAAACATTTCATTTATTAAGGCAACATTTGAAAACATTTGGCAAAACCTTACAATAAGGTTTCATTAATTATATTAGTTAATATTAGTTAACTACATTAGTGATGTAGATGATTAGTACATGATGCTTGGCCAACAGAAAAGAAAATCCAGGAAATAAGTGATGATGATTCAGTCTATTTTTGTGTCCAGGTCTGTAACAGTTTTGCAACAGCTTGACTAAATTAAGCCATTATTATGTAAAAAAATGTACACATAAAAGACTCCCAACGCTTGTGACAATTTTGCACCAGTTTTCTTTGCACTTAGGGATAATAATTGAAACCTGAATGCTAGTTACTCAGTGTCTGCAGGTAATCTCTTTCAGCTGTTATCATTATCAGCATGGATCCACACAGTAGCCATGGCACATCTCAACCTTCCCACATTCACTTCAATACAGTTACTAAACAGATACAGACTGTATTTTGCAAGCTTACGTTCATTAATCAGTATTTGGAGGATAAAACGATGAATGATTCTATAATTCCTTCTCTATAAATTTCAAGGACTTCCCCTGCCATTATAACAAATACTATAGATAAACTTCATATCACAATGGGCTCAAAAACAAAACAATGAGCTAAAATAAGATAAGTAGATTTTTGGAAAAGTCTGTAATAAGTAATATTGATGCTTGGGTGATCCAAAATATGTGTAAATATTATAGTACACATCTATAAAGGTCCATGTAAGACCTTCATATTTCATACTGTTTTTTATTTTATTAGTTTTTTTATTCTTGAACAAGGCTGTTTAATATGTGTGAGTTATGTTCTAGACAAGATTTCTAGACATGACTTTTTCAGTCAAATGTTTGAAAACATAGACAGCTAAACTCCTTCACAATTTAGTTGTAGATTTATACTGCGGTTATTGGAACATGTGGTTTTAAAAACGAACTCTGCTTTGCCTGGCATACAAACTCTTGGCTGAAAGGCTGCATGGCCATTTTCTTAAAATAACATTAATTGGAGCACAGAAACATGTGGTTAAGGACACTAATGTTGCCATTCCCTTTTAAAGAGAACTAATCAACTCTTTTAACTCTTTTATAAGCTGTTAGAATCGACTGAGAAGAAACAATGGAAATGCAAGTGCATTACAAAACTGAAGAATTTCTTCAACTTAAGTGTCTCAGAGTGAGGGAGTGATTTTTTTAAATAATTGATCATAACAGATATCAGCTTCTTTCCTTTTGCTAAGTGAGGATCACAAAGTTCCTTGAAAAACTTTTTATTTATATTTTGCTATTTTGAAATGCCTTTAAGTATATATTTTATTGTTTTAACCAGACTGTCAATTGATGAAAATCCAAAATGGCATTAAATTTTTTTGTATTACATATTTAATATTATACATTTAAGACTGTAATCAACTAAATAAATTAAACAAAAACCAGTTAAATAATTATGTGAAAATGATGTATTTACATTTTTCTGCCCTACAGTTATTTCTACCACACTGAACGACTGTGATTTTTTATTTTTTTTTCAAAAGCCAATGAAGAGTGTGAGATAAAATTTGAGAAAGTGAACAATGAAGGTAAATGTCACTTAAATAATATTTTAAATAATAATTCATAATTTCCATTTAAGCTGTCAAATATGCAAAACTGTTGATTGCAAAAAGTGTTAGGGCTATGAAATTAATCTAAGCAAGACAAAGGAGGCAGTAATTTAATTCTAAAAATATAATATAATTTCCACAACTGTCAAACACAATACTTCAGTTGAGATCTGATAGAAATGTTCAGTGGGGGGGGATTATTCGGTGAGGCATGTATACTGATAGACACTGTTAGAAGACAAATATGACTTAATAAAAAAAAAATACATATATATTTTGGGAATTTTATATCCATGAAATAGCTGCACTATTGGCCAACATCATTCATCAACTGTTCTGTTAAATCTTTGTCTTTGCGTTCAATTGTATTGTATTAATGTGTAATTTGGCAGCGGACCTTAGCTTCTTTTTAAAAACTACAAAATGTTGGTCTTATTCACAGAAGACTTAATATTTAAATGCATTCAACACACATTGCGTTCTTGCATATTGCTGTTAATAATTCTCAAATAGTAGGGGAACTATCACTGCATAAGCTTTG